AAATTATTGTTGAAGCAAATCTCTGGCTAAACAATAGCTATTCTTGAAGTTATAAAATTGTGGCAATATTAGATAATATAGTCATAAATTTTTTGCTATATCAAAATTGCATAGATAATTATTCAATTTTGCCATGATCTGGTTAAAATTTATTGAAGTAACAATAACCTTTTAGCCACAAGAAATGATTTAAAATAAAATTTTCTAGCCAAAAAAATAATTTTTTTTGAGTACTAAATAATCGTGGCAATAGTTGACATAAAAAGTATAATTATTTGTCATGATAAAATAATATAGCTATAAAACTGTAATTTTGATAAATATTTCATAGTTAATAATTATTTTCAATCACAAGTTAAAATTTGTAGTACATACTAATGTTTTATCTATATTAAATATTTTTTATGATTGAAATTACCATAATAATAGTACTTATATGGTCATAATAAATTAACAATAATATTTTTGGTATTCAATGAGAGACACAAAATATGAAGAGTGTCACAATCTAAAGAGAAAATAATATTTTTTTCGTAGAAAAATTAATAAATGTTGACAATTTGTTTACAAAAAATCACTCTACAAGCTACTAGTATTTAGTGTATGATTTAACCCAAAAAAATAAAAATCACATTGCAACTGAAGACTTTGTCAACAGACACCCTGTAGATAATAATAATAATAATAATAATAATAATAATAATAATAATAACAATATTCCAACTCAATACAATCGATATTATCAACTCAACACTACTGAATATTGATTTGTATCCAATAAGAGTAACTCAGAAAAATAAAGATCATCTCTCAGGAATAAGTAAATAAAATTGTTAACCTTAATTGAATAAAAGCAATATGGAAATAAGAGTTCAAAATATCTATAATAACAAATCTTCATCATTAGTTTGTGGTTCTGATTCACTGACTTCAATAATATCATCAGCCAAGGTAACATCAGTACGGATAACATCAAGATCATTTCTTTTCCAATTCATAATGTCTTCATCATCCTCACATATATGCAATAACTCATTACAAGCATCTTGTTGAAAAGTATCTTCATCAATAGCACCTCCGGTAAAATAGGTAGAATGACCATTCAAAACAATTGACCAACTGGGATGAAGATGGTCCTTGACATAAAAAACTTGTTTTGCTTGAGATGCAAGCACAAATGGTTCATCTGTTACTAGTTTTCGCTTAGTGTTAACACTAACAAAATCATGTTTATCTATTTTCACTCCTATTCCGATGTGATCAACATCCCACCAATCACATTTAAACAAAACAACCCGTTTACCTTCAAAATATTGAAGTTCTATTATTTCAGTCAAAACACCATAGTAACTAATATTCTTACCATTCGCTTCTCCTCTTACTAAAACACCAAAGTCAACAATCAAATGATCCAAATCTAACTGTAGGTACTTTATATCATCTTTTTATATTAGTGTTTTGATACTATGTGATTTCTTTTAAGAAAACATACATATTGACAATTAAATTTTATTTTTAAAGTAAATATTTCATTGTACTTTTTTTATTTAATTTTTCATTGTTATTGCAGCTTTTGGAGAAGTGATGAAAGCACCTAAGTGATGGAGAGATGAACAATTATTTTTTTCTCTAGTAAAAGTACATTTCATAGGTTTGCGTAGAATAATGTTCCACTATTTTAAATGACATTGTTGATCTTTTATTATTTTTCTCTAATATATTATATTTATTACCCCATTTAAGATATTATGGTATCATTATCTATAATTTTCATGTTAAAAATAAATGCGCACATACATAAATAATGAATTACTAGTGTGTCAAATTTTTCAATTAGTTGCTATAAACAAATTAAAGTTGTAGCTAAACATACAAAACTGCCACGCAAATGATAACATGTTTTCACATTTTTATTTTTGTGGCAAATGAAGAATTTTTTTTGCTACAATTTATATTTTGTAACAAAAAAGTGTGCATTTTAGCTATAATATTTTGAATTTGTAGCTCTACATATACTACTATAATTGCCACGTTCCAAGAGCATAGCTAAAAAAAATTACTTTTCGTAGTAAATGAATATTCATTTTGCTTCAATGCTATATATTTCATGGCTAATTGTATCAATTCTCAGTTACAATATCAAATGTTTGTGGAAAGTACTTAAATTTATAGCTATAAATATTTTATTTCGTAGCTAAATATGAGCATTATTGCCACGAGACTAAGCTATAGCACTTCTCATAAAATGTAAGTTTGTGTGGCAAATAAATTAATTTTTTTTGCTACAATACAACATTGCGTGGCTACAATATGAAGATAGCTACAAATTTTGTTTATCATGGCACAACAATAAAATTACTTGACATAAGTATATTTTTCGTGGCAACTTTTTATTCCAATGCAACTACAACACATTTTTTTTATAGCAATAGATATAAATCCTTGGCCACGCAGCATGTAAAGTCTGTAGCTAACTATTAGCCACGCTACATCTTGCTACGAAAGAAAATAATGTAGCTAAAGTGTTTAGCCACAAAAAAATTCATATTTAGCTATAATGTATTTTGTAGCAATAGATGTCTTTTCTTGTAGTGTCTCCTTATTCCCTCCAAGTCCGATTGTTTCTCTCTTTTCTCCCTATTCCCTCCAAAATTTTCTTGCTTATAGTGCATAATCTTAAATTACTTGAAAAACAATTTAAAATGAATAATTAATATTAGGTAAAAACAACTAACTACATATTCAATGAAATTTCAAAAATGAGGACTAAACACCTTAATCATATCCATGGAGGTAGAGATGTTGTTTTTAAAGAACCCTCAACGCAAATTAAAATAGTTATGAAAAAGAAAAACGACAATGAAAAGAACATAACAACTAATAAGGAAAGCAGTATAGAACATTTAAGAAAGAAATAACAGCAGCTAACAACAACAAAATAATGTCATAAATTAAACACTATAAACAATAGATGATGATAAATATCAAAAGCATAAAACTACGAAAACAAAGCTAATACTACAATAAACACAACCAAACTTAAACCCGTGGAAAAGCATTAAGAAGTAAAACAAAAAAAAAAATCTTGATATGATAAAATAGGTGTAAAAAAGTATTAGCATAATAATTAAATAAAAATGGACAGAAGAAGCACATAGTATATGTATACTTGTTATGACCCCTGATTAAGTAAAGATAGACACTAATCAGGACAATAATTTCAAAGGACAATATAGCTATATTTCTTTCCTAAACAAGTTAGATCGATTATATGAATCTACTAACAATGTTCACCATTTAAATTCGCTCTAGCAGCAAAGAGTACCATAAAAAAGTCGTAAAAGTAAAAATGGCACAAAAAAATGATCAACGAAACCATTTTTCTAATTAATTTTCGTTAGGCTTCTCTCCTTAGAAGCACGTATCCAACATATATATGTTATAAATCTCTTTAATCAAAAACTAGTGGCAGCTTACATATATTTATCAATTTAGTAAATGAAGAGAAGAGATCTTTTTTCCACAACGAAAAGAAAAGAGCAAATTTAAACCGACATAACCTAACGATACACTTAATATCAATGATGCATTTTCAATTTCCCTCCGAAGAAGACTCCGATACAAACCTTCTTTCTTTCATATTTTATTAATAAATGATTTTCTTAATTTATTCATCTAATTTCAAAAAAAATTATTACTTATTTTATTTTAATTTATGTGACCCAATTTGTAGCGCAAGGAATAAACTAAACAATTTTCTATGTGAATTAAAATATATAATCTTCATTTAAAAGTAAATAAAATTTATATAAAGTATCACAAGTTACCATAAATAACAATCCAAAATATTTAAAGCATATTTCAATAAAAGAAAGTTATTTTTGACTTTCCATATATAACTAGCCAATTTATCTAACAGTTTTGAAAACAAAATAGAAATTAATATAAAACCTACTCGTATTAACGTTAATAGTTTCCTTAATGATAATTTTTTTTAATTAGGAAACCTTTTTTTACGTGTGGCGGTGGGTTGGATCCGAATTATGGTCAATTTAGGAAAACATATTCCCTATAAAATGTGATTTGATGCTAAAGTCTCACAAATATTTGTTAGGGTTACAACTTAGAACAAACATCGATCAATCATGGTTAAAGTAGTTTTACGTGTGGATTTAGAGAAAATGTTTATGAATCAATTTTCAATTTGATTGAATTTACGATTTCTGTTGCTGAAGCAAAGTATCCAACGCAGTTGGAGAAGCGTAGACGTAGAATGTTCGTACAGTTCTTGTCTTTTGTTTTCGTTTTTTATTTTGATTCTGCATTCCTTTGTTATTCATCGTAATATTTTAAGGCTATCGAAATTGGAAATCAATATCGATTTAACAGGGAGAAGCAGTGAAATCAGAAAAAGATATCAACTTTGGTTCAATGAAACTTAAAATTCCAAAAATGGATACTAAAAACAATAGTGTGTACGCATACCTTACTCCTATATCCATGGACGTAGAGAGGTGGTTTTTAAAGAACCCTCCACGCAAATCAATATGTAGATATGAAAAAGAAAAACGACAATGAAGAAAACATAACTACTAATAAGTAAAGAAGTACGAAGCATTCAAGAAAGAAACAACAGCAGCTAACAACAACAAAATAATGTCATAAATTAAACACTAAAAACAACATAAATATAAATAGCATGGCTAATACTTCAATAAACACAGCCAAACCTAAACCCGTCGAAAAGCATTATCCAAAAATGGACAGAAGAAGCACAAACTTTGCTATGACCCCTGATTAGGTAAAGACAGACGCTGATCAGGACAATAATCTCAAGGGACAAAATAACTATACTACTTTCCTAAACAAGTTAGATCGACTATATGAATCTCACTGAAGATGTTCACCATTTAAATTCGCTACATCAGCAAAGAGTATAAAAAAGTCGCAAAGGAAAAATGGCACAGAAAACTGGAACTACTTTATCCATGTACTTGGTATAACAATATACAGTTTTAAAACCCCATCTTTTAAGGAAGTTGTCTATCTGTGCCACTAGCATATAGTTAAGGCAGAATTGAAAGGAGCTATCAATAACAGAGAGAAACAAAAACAACAGAGCCTATAATTGCAGAACTGCTGTGTTTGAAAACCATAAAATACTTGAGAGATTGAACCTTTTCCAAATCATGGATAAGCCACAGATCATGTTGAAGTTGCTACAAAAGCCGGTGCCAAATAATTATATGTCCAGAGGAAAGGAAAATCAAAACTCCCTCTCTACAAGCCAAAACGCTGTCCTGTTGTCCTCTACCTCCTACTGCTGCATCATTTTTTTGGACCTTTGGAAGTCATAGCTACAAGCTTTTGACCACCTCCATTTCGCCAAACACCACGCACAGGCAAACTTTCAGGGTTACTTTGGTCATCTGATGTCTCTTTTCGATCTGGGTCGGGATCCAGATCAGGGTTTGAACTATTGAGATTCAAAAGTGTTTCAACAGATCCATCACCTAAGCGAACTCTGTAAAACTTTGAGGTTTTCTTCCGCTGCTTGCCTTTCCCATCATTATTCCCCGGCCTGTGATTTGACTCATCGTTAGCAGACAAGTCATTCTGGCGGGCATCCAGCTTTAAAGGCTTGCCTCGGGAGTTCAATTCTTCCTCGGATTCATTCAGAGTCAATTTTGATTTACCTTTAGCAGATCGATAACCATCTCTTGACAAAACTTCCACATCATCATCGGGAATCTTATGGCTAGACTGCAATTTCCTCACAGTACTTAAAATGTTATCTGCCACATTATCCTTTGAAGCAACACTTCCAGCATCTATTGACTTGCCTTTACCATTCTTCGAACTTTTACCATCTTTCAAGCGATTGACACCACTTTGACGATTCTGTATAGGGACAGTGCCTCCTAAATTAGCATTATAGGTGTCAATTAATGCTTTTTGCCTCTCAGCATCAGGGCATAGTCTAGCCAACTCAAGAACGAGATGTGACAAGCCAAACTGCGCGGCATATGCCAGATATGTCTCAGCATCAATTAAACCTTGACGATATTCTGCAGAGATGTCCTTAAATGCAGTGAATTTGTCTTGATCAAAATCTAGAGCAATATGCATCCTTTCTACCAAAGATTTATTTGCGGTTTGAACATCTTCCACATTTGTGGCTGCCTGCTGGCCACTTGCAGGAAGTTTGCGAGTCTGCACAGCTGAGACTGGAGGAAAATCAGTAGTAGAAGAGTCAAAAGACCCACTCTGAACAAGGTTTGGGGCTGACGAGGAATGGCTAATTCGATTGCTGTGGGCCCAACTCCTGGATGAACCAATGGAGCTAGAAGATGATTCATGTGCTAATGAAGATCGAGAAGCAACAGAGTTCAAATAACTAGATGATGGGGGTCCATCTGCTGCTGTTGACGGTTTAATCTGGCTAGAGCCTGATGCTGATCCAAAAGAACTATTAACAGCAGGCCAAGCTTGTTCACGGGTAATTACTGGTGCAGAAGGTTTGTTTGCTGCTGCCTTACTATGCCTGGAATTAGATGATGATCCAGAAGCACTACTTATCACAGGCCAGGCAGGCTGATGACCAATTACCGGTGGTGAGTGACCAGTTGTTGCCGGCCATGCAGGAGACGAACTAGGAAGCTTTGTACTTTTGTTTTGCTTCCGGCGTAGATGTGATGCCATAGTGTTCTTGGGTACAGCATCAGACTGAGGTCTTGGTTGACTATTAGCAGGAGGCGCAGCAAGGGGAGGAAATGAAGACTCTTCAAGCTGAGAATTTCTGGAAACTTGAGACACAGCTTGTCGATATCTTGAAGCTGGCTCAGAATCAGTAGTCAAAGAATCAAAGGGTTGAACAAGGAGATCATCATCATCTGTTACCGTTTGATCAGAAACTACCCTCCTCCTGCTTGACGTATCATGCAGTCTTCCATCTGCATTAGCGGTCTCTAAACTGGCTTGAATGGCCATGGAGAGTTCACTCTCAGCATTATCACGCCTAAATGATTGTCCCCTTCCACGACGATTAACCTGTTCACTACTACGGCGATATCGAAAACTCGTTGGTATCTGTATAAAAAAGAAAACAAAAATCATTTGTAACTACCATGACTCCAACATAGCGCCAGGAATGAAATGTCAGGATATACACAACGGGAACAGCTAATGAATGAGGCACCATGAGCGCATCTTCCCCTGTGGCTTTTATTCAAGGACAGAGTTGAGACTTGCCTGCAAAGCAGCACTGCGTTGGGAACGTGACATACGACCTCCATGCTCGAGAGTATTGTGCCTCTGAAAATGTGAACAGGAAAATAAAGACATCAAAAGAAATCTACTACAGGAAAGTTGCACACCTCTGCCCATGAAAACTATGAAATAACATGAAAGTAATAACTTGAATCTGCATGAATATATGTTTTATTACAGGCTACAGCTATTCATAATTTGCACCAGGCCAACAAATCCTACCTTCAACTCAGATTCAGATTGGAAAACAATAAACTTTTTTGCAAGACAGCTCTCGTCTTCACATAAGAAATGATCTCTGCGGAAGTGGATCTGAAATGAAAAAGAAACACCATCTTTAATTGGCATCAAAAGCACCACTGAAAGAAGTCGGAAAGCTTCAGATGATATAGCATAGTAAGACCACCTCTAGGTCATCATAATTCTTGTAGTATTCGTATTGCCCAGGGTGCTGCCTGCATGAATTCAATGGATAAAACCACCGTGAGCTTTAACTGATCGATGATAACCAACTTATAACATGTTATTGGACACATAAAACCATACCTCTGGCACATGTGACAAGTATAATGTTCAGTTGACATGTGAGAATACAGCTCATTATCACCATAAAATGGGGTCCTACAGAATTCACAAAGAGGATGACCCATGAAGCCACCTCTTTCACTTTCAGTACCATCAACCTCAGAGTCACCTGTGTGTATATGCTGATTCAGCTGTGCCCTTGTGTACAGTTTCTGCTCACAGATAAATATCTGTTTGACAAATAAGCCACCAATCAGATCAATATGTTGCTAACAAGATTGATATGCATGCATTGATGTTACCATTACTAAAAATACAGAATCTGTAAAGTCTCATAACACAATTTAACTAGGCAACACAGTTTCAGTATGCAATCAAATCCAATCCAAACGACCAAAATATCAAGAGCTAAGATGTTCTTCCCTAATCCAGTCAAATGGGCCTTCCCATTGTTATAGACAATGGTGCTTTCTTATTCTTTTTGTTCCCTTTTTTTTGGGGAGGGCAGAGAAACCATATCCTTCTTTATCAACTGAGAGCACTCGTAAGTTTCAGTTGTCAAACAATGTAACTGCAATTCGAAGTAAAGACTAAGCGGAGCAGATAGACTAGATGTTGAATAGCATCCTTGGGGGTTAAAAGAACCATTCAATTCTGCAGTCGAGTTTGTGTATCTCATCTTTGATAGCAAGATTATGAACAAGGCTGTAGTGAGGGGGGTAATTAAGGGGCTTCATGACTAGGTTCTGAATATATTTATATTAAACAAGTGTAAGAACAATCAGGCAGCCAAAGTGGAACATCATCAGATCGATTTCCCTTACTATAACTTATATGGAATTACCCTTGAACTTAGCTTACTACTTTACTAGGGCTAGGTGGTATTTAATCTGTTCACTGAGAGTGCTGCCAGGGAGTGTACTTGTAGTTTGTTCATTTTTTAGAAAAAAGACGATGTCAAGATGTCCCAACAAGTGAAATACTTGCGACTATTTTCAGCATTTATTGCTAGCTTATAGAGGAAATAGGGAAGGGAAACTTTACAAGACCTAAAATTCAGGAGGAGAGGGGAAAGAGCTCAAAAGTTTGGTAGTATTACTCAACTGCTGAATAGGCAATCATGTATGGTTATCTACTTTGGGTATGCATCTTGTAAGTATGATTATTCCCTCTCACATAAGCAAAATATTTATTATATAAAAAAAAATGCAACAGATGAAAGCTGAATCAGATATTGCAGAAAACGACCTTTCTTCCTTCCAAACATAAACTGCACATGTGCAACTTGTGCTTGTGGAATAAGTGACCTTTTAACTGATCAATATTTCTGAACCTTGCTCTTCTCTTCACACCATCACCATCCGGCCCTTCCATCTTGTCACACACACTACAAGAAAGCCTGCACATTGCCAAGATCATCTTGTAATGATCTAAATCATCAAAAAAAGCCTGGGTGTCCTCATGATACCAATAAGAACCACTTTTTCCTTCTTTTGGTTCAGATGGAAATACTGAAAAGTCACCAATCATATTTGTATAATCTCCTAGAGCCTGCAACACAGAAAAGGGGGGAATAATAAGAAAATCACAACCATAGATCTTCAGTCTTAAAACCAAATTGGAACAGCAATTCAATAGAGTGAAATACTGTGCTTGCTTCCACGTAAAATTTGGTTGAACAACATCTCAATAAATGTACATTCATATTTATAAGCAGACTAAATACACGAAGCATGAGAAGATCATCAATTATCAAAAAAAAAAATAAAAATGCAAAGAGATCACTCCTTAAAATACAAGAGCAGCAATTCAATATAATGCCAGTGCAATTATTAGGTAAAATCTCGATTGATCAACCTAGTCCACAAATAACAAACTATATAATCATAACATCGGTCTACAAAAACACAGATTTATTGGGGTTTTGAGATTGCAAACCTAATGATAGCTCCTACATCCATAACATAAGTCATCACCAATGTTGAAAATTAGATATAAAACATCAGTTCAATAGATGTGAATGTTCAAACTATTAGGTTACATCTAAACTTGCACAATCAAATGTAAATAATTCTTTTAGACAACGAAAACGATCTAATAGATCAAGCAAACGAAGATTAGAGTGGGAACCTTGGTGACAAAAACAACATCAGCCTCGGTTTTGCAAATACAACATCGGCGATCATCGCAGATGAATCGAAGACGAGCAACACAGGTAGAGCAAACATCTTTGTGACCACAAGCTCCATAGGCAACCCATTCAAGGGTTTCAGCACAGACTGCACAGCTATCATCCATGGATTAACAAGATTTTTGATCTAGGGTTTCTTCGGAGGAAGAATTTGTACACCTCAAGGGTCTCGCGCCGATGCAAAGTGAATTGCCTTTTTAGGGTTCCGAAGCTTTGTTCTTCTCGGGACAAGTATACACCGCTTCGTTTTTCTTGTTTTTATTCTTTTTTCATTTTCCTAATTTTGACCAAATAAAAACTCATTTTAAAAATTAAAAAACTCCAAGAAACACATCTAACCTAAGTATTTTATGTTTTTAAGCTTAATACTAGATAGATGTTTAAAATTGGCACGATATTTTATTTCATGACATGGATTTATTAATATTTTATAAAATTGATTAAATTTGTACTTAATAAATATTTTTTGCTGGCATAACTATGTGTGTGATTCGCACAGCTTTTAAGAAGTGTGAAATAACTTAAAATTAGGTTAATGTGGGCTCAATGATTAAATTGAATGTGTTAGGGATAGTTAGAGTATGAAAGAAAGGGGGGTATGTCTAATTCTTTTGGATAGTTGTTAGAAAAGTGTTTAATAGAAATTGTGTGTGATGTGTACGACTTTTAAAAGCGTGAACTATTCTTAATTATGTTAACATGAATCAAATGAGGCATTGGGTGCATTAGAGCCCGTTCAATTATGGAAAAGAAAGAAATCAGGCATTTAATTCGTTTGGTAAGTTGTTATAAATTTTTATTTAATAGACGTAATTTTTTTAGTATAAAGTTTTCGATAGGTCAAACTCTAACTTTTTTGTTAGTATAAAGTTTTCGATAGGTCAAACTCTTAACTTTTTTGTTAGTATAAAGTTTTCGATAGGTCAAACTCTAACTTTTTTGTTAGTATAAAGTTTTCGATAGGTCAAACTCTAAAATGAAGTGTGTAACCAAAAAAAATTGTTTTAATTTTACATGTATTAAGCTTCTTTTATTTTTCTTTCTTTCCTTTTGTCGATTCAAATCTCCTTGAGATGTGTTTAATTTCTGAAAATGTCGAAAAACACTTTACTATTTTAAATCGATCTTCGAAAAAAAACTTTGTTGACTATTCCTTCAAAGAACCATATAATGCATCTGAGAAATATTTTTTAAGAGAACAATATTAGTAAGTATCACCTTCCTACTAACAAAGCTATTTAACTATCATAAGTAATATTATTTTAAAAATTTGAAGAAATACAAAAAGGGCGATAATATTTAGAAGAATTTTATATGTTTTCTCATTAGCTTTACAATTTTATTTATATGTGAACGATAAGCTCCCAAACCCTAACCCTAATTAACTTATTAAGCTTATAAATCCCTATATTTATTTCATTGTATATAGTTGCCACATATACATAAATACCTTATTAATATTGTCTGTTATAGCATACTATATATAAATATATATGTTTGAGTTTCTCTACTAAATTAAAGAAGTATTTGGTATATTCATATCTTTTTCCTCTAATGACAACTTTAAATCAAGCTATTTTTTCGATTGTTACAAAAATGTTGATAAGCTGCAAAAAAAAAAAAAAAAACTTGAAATTATGCACTTTGTATGTAAATTGTATAATAAAAGTATTACTATATCATTTTCGCATATATAATGTATGAGTTAAATTTGAGTAGATTTTAATATTTGTATGAATTGTGAATTTCATTTATACAACTTGGAAATGAATTATACATTGACTAAATATGATTTAAACATTTTCTTTTTTCATGTCGAAATTAATTTTGTTTTTGATTATTTTTTATCGCAAAATTTTGAGACTAACATGAATTGCAATATACGTAACAATATTGGAATCAGGGGCGAATTTATGTATAAAAATTGGGTTATCGAAACTCGTGGTCATCCGACTAAACTCGATATATTACTTGTATAATTATTAAAGAAATATTAAATAATAACTTGTGGAATCCATTTTCAAAGCTGTTGGATGGTTCACTGGTTTGACAGCTAGATTTTAACACCAAGGTCTTGAGTTTGATCCCCCACAATTTGCTTCATTTTTTTTATTAACTAAAATACACGTTTTTTTTTTTTTAAAGCAAAGTTCTAAAGTTAAAAGACTTCAAAAGTTTCCTTCTCACCCTCTTTTCAAGTTCCAAAAATATTTTTTCTTCTCTCTTTAAATTTGCCTTTTATTTTCCACACAAAGAACTCCAAGTCTCCAACTTCAAGTCAAGAATCTAGAAAAATCATCATTGTCAAAGTTTAGGGTATTTTTTAAAAAAATTTATGATTCCTCTTTTTAATAAACAAACTAACAAGATAAAAAAAAATCTCTCTCTCTCTCTCTATATATATATATATAAATCTGAATCTAAAACCACTGATGTGGCACCCTCCAATGTCCAGCATTTGCAATTATCTATTTTCTCCTCTCTTTTTTTCTTTTTTTTTTTGCTTTAAATTTATATTGAATATTAATTAAAGCATAGTATTTAATTCTCTCATTATTAAAACACAAACATAAAAGCTGTAATATTGCATTAGTGCCGTATTAGTATCACTATGCATTGGTGTTGCACGTTTTTTTTGCAGAAAAATTGATCTCTTCTCCTTCCCCATAATTAACATATTATTAATAGGTTAACATAGAAAGCATTAGTGTTGCACGTTTTTTGCCCAGAAAATTCATTGCAATAATCTCCTTCTCCTACCCAATAAATAATATTTATTATAGATATTAAACATGGCACCTTTTCAAATTCTGACACTCAATAAAATGATATAAATTTAGGAACAAAGCTCCAAAGCTTCCCCACTATGCTAGATAAAAAACTCATGATGCTATATTGCATTAGGTAATATTAATTATTATTTTTATTGGATAATGGTATTGACAAATTTTCTTATATGAATCGAAGAAACATGATTTACTTATTCTTGATTATACATGATTTTAGGTGATCTTATGCATGTTTATTATTATGATTTCTATTGTTGCACAGATAATTTCTAATTTTTTATCTTTGTTTTATATCATTTTCTCATAATAATTATATATCTTTTCTTTAATTATTTAGAATCATTTTTGCTATACGCAGGTTTGTTCAATCAATTACAGAAAGTGAAAAGAAAAATATGTCAACTGACTACAACAACTATTCAAAGTATAAAAGAGATATTAAACAAAGGTTCGTCACTGCATGAATGAGATTTGGTATATTTTAAGAGAAGCAAATGGACTGTTTATCAAACTATTTATTATGAGTATCTCTAATATATCTTTTTGATTATGCTTGTAAATATTATTATTTAAATATCTAGAAGGTTCAATTTTACTTAATAAACATCGTGTATGTGTTTCATTTTTTTAAAAAAAATTATCGATTTATTTTCTTTTTTGTTCATTATTTTATGTAAAATATTTGTTTTTCTTTGTGTGTTTTCGTAGTTGGTTACGAAAATGATAAATTGTTCATGAATAAGAAATTAAGAATGCTGAAAGGAAATTTTCTCGCTGTATACACTTTAGTTGATTATTGCTTTCATTGATATTATTTCTAACCATTTAAATATCAGAAGGCAGGCTTAATCTTAGTTTTAAAAAATAATGCCAATAAAATTATATTTTCTTCTGGATAAACTTTATTGGTTGAGAAATGAAATCAAACTTAATTTTGACATATTTATAGTTTCAAATTTAGTTCCAACTTAAAAAAGAGTGAATTGTGTTTTTCAAATTAGAATGATCTCATTTTAGTAAGTGTTGAATTTGTATTTTACATGAGTAATTTGAATGTAAGTTATTATAAATAGTTTAACAAATCAAAAAACTTAAGTTGAATTATCATCACAATTTTTTAATTTATCAAAATATATGGGAGCTTGTAATTTTAAATCTATAGCTATATATATTTATATAAAGTTGGACATAAACAAGGTGATGTTACAACTCTATAATCAACAATCATATTTTTAAATTTTTTTTTTTACCATTCTCCTATTTTCTTAATCTGTTTTTGTTATTAAATCAAAAAATAATAATCAAAGGTCACTAATTAAAATATTTCTCCTCAATATGCGTTACTCATTTTTTTTCAATTACTCATTGTTAAGTACCACTTATTGTACTTAAGTCTCTTTAATTTGTTAGTTCCTATCATTTTAATTTAAAAGTCTAACTTTGACTAAATAATTTGTCAATTAATTAGGAGAAGATAGTATTATAGAAGACAAGGAAAGATAAAAAAACGTTAGTTTCGAATAGGTAATGAAAATATTAAAGTAGAAAGAAGCAAATTTTCTTTTTGATTATTTAAAAAATAGAGCACGATATTTAACTAGCAACGAGAACTAGAGAAACAAGAAAATAATTCAAATAAAATAAATAATTCAACATAGGAAAGATTGAAGGAAGTAACTAAACAAAAAGAGGAAGTAGGATTAGGAAATAATATCTCAAATGGTCACTCAACCATGAATTACTTTCTCAAAAATTTCACTCAACTATGAGTAGTTTTCTCAGAAAGTCACTCAACTTTGTTTTATAACACAAAAGTCACTCAACTATGTGTAGTTATCTTAGAAAGTCACTCAACTATGAATACTTATCTTAGAAAGTCACTCAACTATTAGTATTCTACATAAAACGTCACCCAACCAATTTAAAGAATTTTTTCATTAATTTTTGTTGACTTGAAATTTTTCTTTTAAGCTAAATTTTTAAGAAATAAAAAGATCTTCATTATAATTTTTTTATTGACGTATCCCACTAAAATTAAGTAATATATAATATAACAAAATTTATAACTATAGTTAGAAAAACAAACTTATATCTAAAGTACCAATATAAATTATAAATGCAAAACACACAACTCAGTTACGCATTTTATATAAAAAAAAATTAGCTTATAATTGAGCAATCAGTTAATTATATATGTCAACGTTTCAACAATAGTTAGACAATAACAAAGATTCCAATGTTTCTAATTATATGAGAAAAATTAGAGTAGCAAATTATGTCGTCATATTTGAGTGATTGCTTTAAATATTATTTTAAATGCATATAAAATGAAGTGATCTTGATAAATATATATTTCTATATAATTTTAGTGGGGTGCATCAATAAAATGATTAAAATTGACACATTTTTTATTTTTTTAAAAATTTAGTATAAAATAAAAATCTCATGTCAACAAAATTTA